GTACCTATTATTATTATTATTAGCATTTCTCTTTTGTAATAAAAAGTCATAATGTCTATCATATGACTTAACTAATTTATACCTACCTACCTAATTTGTACAAAAAGATTTTTATGATCTTTAGTTTTCTTATAACACTTTATTCAATGGTATGTTAAAAACAAAATTGCCTAATTATGTTCTAGATGAGTATACAATAAAAATTAAACGTTAAGAGATTACGGTTCTTTTGAAAATAAAAATAAAAACAATAATAATAACATAAACAAAACTTAGCATATATATGATGAATCATGTAGGAATATGCATACAGTGAGTGATATTGTGATACAAAAATGCTAAGATGTGGATGACTGATTTTTCTTATTAATGTATCAAAACGCCCCAGTAGTATTCTGTTTTAACAAGCTTTAATACAACCTGATTATATTGGCCTATGTATGGTCAAGGTGTGCGAATGATTACTTGGTTTGAGAGTGTAGGTATATCCTAAAGTGGAAAGTGTTACGGTATAGACAATAACCACAAATACAGCAGGCATTTCTCAATGTGACAAATAGATTCACCGACAACAATCCTTAATATTTCCTGTTAAGCATAGGCAGCCAAGTTTAACCTCTGCTGCAGTTTGTCAATCTGTCTGTAACTCAGTAGCTCATTGGGAATTCTAACATCATTCAATGGATGAAATTCAGGATACCGCCGTTACCTTACATAAGACTGAGTGATTCCTTGCAAATGCTGCAAAAATCTGACCACCTAATACAGAGTGATGATGAAAGTCTCGCAGGGAAGAAATGAAATACAACGCTGGCAGAGAAGAGAATGAGGAGAAAGAGCAAATGCTTTTATCACACTTAAAAATTCTTATAACATCAAATTAGATCAACTGCTGTACAATCCTTTTTAGAAATCATACAGATACTGAAATCAACAAATTCAAAAAAAACTATATGTGTACGCCTAAACGTATTAATGTGCAGCTGATACAGACGAGCAATTCCATAACCGAAGTGAACGTCCAACGGAGTATTTTGCACAGAAGTCCAACACTTCAGGTTACCACACTTCATGTTGTACATAAAGATAGAAGAAAAATTCAGCCATTTCACTCGCTGCATTTAAACCAAAGGTCAGTGCAAACCAGCCCTATAGCACCATCTTACATCTGACGGAGACGAATCTCATGCCAAACAGTTCTATATAACACACACTAAGTAAATGTGTAAAATTAAACTAATCAATTGGAACATACACACATGTTATTAAACAAGATGCACAAGGTTAGCTGAAATAGGTTGGAAAGCAGTTACCGGTCCACTCAGCAATCGACTGTTTGTTGAACTACATGCGGAAGTGTAGACTCTACCTAGGACCACAAGCTAGTGAAGACTGCAAGTGAAATGACTTGAAATCATCCTAAGTGGTGTAGATGTATTTACTCTTTGTGACTTTTTAGGTTTTACAATCATTCCTTTTCTCGCATATTTCCTTTAACTATAATTTCACTTTAGTTCGTTGAGAAGTGAGACACGTGGAACTGTTGCACTATTGTGCAATGTTCTATGTTGGAAATTCAGTTTAGTTTAGTTCATACGATTAAAATGTACTTGAGTAGCCTAGCAACATGCTTTATATACAATGCTTAGATGATTCATAGTACAAGTCTGGATAGTGAATCATAAACATTGAGGGATAGTTTTCTTTTCTTTTCTTCAGTTAGCTACTTACATAGGACTGACTATCAACAGCGAAACTCGAAGACAGCTACAAATCACCATAGCATAATAATAACATACAACAATAACTACATTTGATCAACATCATGTTTATAGAGAATTAACTAGCGGGGCCACAATAGATCAGATGATGCAATTAGCATGTACGTGTACACAAGTATAGTAAGATGTTTACTTTTATGTAAATACAAAAACCAATACGTCATTGTAAAAAAAAGAAACAAATGTTTTGAATTAGTAATGAGTTAGAAGAAAAACAAACAAACAGACCGACTAACTGATTCTAACAAGAAACGACATACACGCATAAATGATTATGATGATAACACTTAGTAATTACTGGATATGTGAACATATTGCATACCAACCGAACTCAACACAATGTTACTCAACAACCACTTGAGATTCCATGCAGTTGGTGATAGACCACACCCACATCAGGTTTGATGTCATCAATCACACCTAATATTTCTAAGAGAATAACCATTCTTTGAAAAAAATAATTACAGGTCACGAGGTGAGTCGACTGACCATTCAATTACTGAGACGGAATTTAGTGACCCATCAAACACTAACTTCTGTCGATTAGCGACTTTCAGAGCCACCATCAGAGAATGTCATCGCCAAGCACTTGTCCTCACATCCGACCTAGCAGACCCAACTGGTCACGACTCCTCACTAGAACTCTAGGAAAATTCTTCCTTTAGTCAACCACTAGTGAGCATGGTCTGGGGTTCAATCCCCGACCGACGCATTCCTGCACCTCTCTAAGCCAGAAATAATGCTGGCAAAGAGGAAACGTTGGGCATGAGGCTAGCAACCCCATCCTGTAAAATAAACACTGTTACAGAAACTTCAAGCCTCTAGCTTGAAGCCCTATGTTCCAATGGGGAACGTGAAGGAAAAAAAGTGAGCATCAGATTAATTTTTATGTTTTAGTTTCTAGGTATTTAATTGGTTTAAATTTTGGTCACGGATTGATGTAGACTAGAAAACTATCAAAAATCAGGGAGTACTGGGCAGCTGCTTCGTCCTACTTTTAGACTCTTCATCAGAAGGCGCTTATGGGCCTACCAGTGCTCAAATCGAGGACCTTCAATGTACTAAGCTGGTGGAGACGCTAGAAATCGCGAATAGACACAGTTCAGAATTTATGGATTCCATTCAAATGGATTAATGGTCAATGAGCGCTAGCCTTGTAAACTGTAATCCGATCCCCAGTAGGATTATGAGTGCGTACTGCTAAATAGTCCCAAACTAGGATGAAGAAGCTGTCCAGTGCTCCTTGATTTCCAGTAGTTTTCAATCCATGATCAAACTTGAAACCTATCAAATGCCCAGAAACTAACACTTGAAAAACAACTACGACTAATTCTATTTGCTGAATACACAGCAGGAGGAAACTACTAAGTTTTGAAACATAAAATGCCAGCTGCACATTGTAGTAGATGCTAATACTGAGATGAAAGGTATGTGTCAATTTCAAGGTTGACTTTACAACCAACAACTAGCGACCAAGGAGTCGTCGACAGCTGTTTCGTCTTAGTTTTGAATTCTGCAGCAATCCACAGCAATGATCCTCAGAATAATAGAATCCAAAGCCGTTAGGTCTTGATGTCGAGACGTTATTTTTCTGTCACACTGAAGAATCCGAATCCATTGACACAAAGAATGAGGGAATCGCATTACTTGGAATTAAGAACATAGTAATGGCAACATGATAGTCTCGAAATACGAAAGTTACAACTATAACGCTATGTGCATAGTTGCTACATCAAGAGATGATCAAATTCAGTAAAGTACAAAAGTGGCCTAACTGCTTTTTGTCTGCTATCTTTGGTAACAAGATACATGTTTAAAAAACTGCATTTTTATCTAGTGCTAGTCAGTGTATGAAAGACGATAGGATTGAGAAATGGAAATATTGTTTAAATGGTGGAAAAGAGTGAGAAACAAACGCGATTAAATTCTGTGGAAAAATGTATACATATATATTTAAGAGCTACATAAATTCATTCAATAACGAGAAAAAACTCAAAGTAACTTCCTAGTAATTTATAATTAATCCGTTTCGGTTTACTTTCTGTTTGAAATAAAACGTTGGAAAACACCTTTTCAGACCTAGTCATCGAAATTAACATAATTTTTGACTACAGATGTTTGAGTTTTCTCTCCGATGTTACGTTCTATAATATGATGAGCAATATTGGGGCTAGGGTTTGTGTGTTAAGTAAGAACGGCACTGTGAAGCTACATTGACTGAGATGACTGCGCAATATCAAACCACCGCTTCCCTTAACGAGTAATGTTAACTGACATGAGATCAGGTTGTATGTAGGATAGGGATGGTCACACCGAAATCTGGCATCAATCCACTGAGTCTTTGACAGTTCATTTGAGCCACATAAGGAGGTTTAGATTACCTGGTTGGTGGTAATGGGATGCTAAGAACCAATGGACTCAACCTATTGGTGATGTGGTTCAAAATTACTGTTAATGGTGCATATGCATTCACTATTTGTGATCTCCTATATCCATTAAACTCTCATATTCTTCGATGTTACTATTATTTCTTCCTCATAATTCTGCTTAGTACAGTTCTTTTGAATCTTTTTTCTGTCGTTCCCCTACCTCATCTGTGTGGTATATGGAGTGTGATAGTTTGAACTGTGGCACTTCCGTACACACTTCTGTGTTGAAACTCAGTTAGGCACATTACGATAATTGAAATATATACTACTGAACATTTATGTGGCGTCGGTGGCACAGTGGATAGGACGCTCGCCAACCATGAACATGGTCCGGGGTTCGATCGCCGGACGATGCACTTCTTTACCTCGCTGAGCTAGAAATAATGCTGGTAATGAGGAAAGGTTGGGTATGAGGCTAGCAACCCCATCCTGTAAAATAAACACTGCTACAGAAACCACAAGCCACTAGCTTGAAGCCCTATGTTCCACTGGGAATGTGAAAGAAAAAATTTTTAAAAAATTAAAATTGAACATTTATGTAAATCAAGATATAATCTACAACACTCATACTTACATCTGACTACTGAGAGTTGGATCTTCACATGAAACCTTCTGTCATTTAGAGCTAATAATTATTTAATATAATTACAGCATAACAGACATCTAATTACACTGAGGTCTTTAACAGGAAAAATCGAATATTATACTACCTAATCTGTGTAAAAACCATGAATAGCAGATTGCGCAACATACAAATGAAGAGTTTAACAAACAAAAATTAGAAACTTACGCATACAGACCCACGGGATCCAGATGTCAAATTAGGCACAGACTGCAAATAAAAGAGATTAAGTATGAATATTAGAATTTTATCTCACAGAAAATTATCAGAAGTGACCTCAAGTGAAATCGCAAGGAGTGCATGCCGACCAGTACATCATTAAGTTAAAATAGATTAATTTAGAGGGTGGTCAAATCAAAACACAGCGTCAATTCATCAAATCTTTGACTCTTGGGTTTGAGTAACTAGGAAAGTAAAGACTGTATGGTTGAGGTTTTCGAGGCGTTAAGAACCAATGACTGGAGACCAGTGGTGACATGGCTCAAAATCGTTGTCAATGACGCAGAGGTATTCCCTCTTTACGAAAGCTTATACCCATCAAATCCTCATTATTCTACATGTAATTATTTCTTCTTTCATTCACTATAAGTTGTTTTACATTTTTCCCGCCTACTTTTATGTGCTTTATGAAGTACTGAATTTCTGCGTGAAGTTCTACGCTGAAAAATCAGTCATCAATCAGTCAGTCATAGCATCTCACATGTTATTTTCATTGAGAACTTAAGATCTCCCCTAGGCCTACAAAAACGAGTAATTATATTCTAATGGGCATTCAGACTATCCTTCTAACTTCACAACCATGAGGAAATGTCAGACGAACAGCGATTTACTAGTCAATAAGACAAAAGGAAAGGTGATTTTGAAAACGAAACTCTAAAGATAAGAGGAAGTTGATGTTTTAAATTGACAGTGAAATGAACGAGTACGTTTCTTAGTTCGTATAAGCAAGAAGATCGAAATACACAGTAACAGATATTAACTTAAATGGTGGAAAATAAGTCATAAAGGTTCTGATAAATCCACGCCTTATTCGTTTATATTTTGAGCTCACAATATTTCTTAAAATTACTTCTAATTGCCTGTTTATTGATTTTATTGGACAGAAATGCTAGGTCTTTGTTGAAATGTCGACTTCTGAGTACACATACAGATGCATCCACGATACTCTGATATTAAGTCGATATAGATAAGTCTTTGGTGCTTGAAACGATGAGTGCTAGATTCAAGATTATGAAAAAGCGCCACCCGCTAGAATGCAAGACCAACCATGTGACGAATCTCAAATAAGGTGAAACGAGAGTTCATTGATTCCACTGCCAGCTACTGTCAACCAGATAGCTTATTGTATTTCTTTACGCTGTTTTCTTAAGTTTGTCCATAACTATGGATGTTACCAACCTTTTGGTTAATCATCCCCTTTCACAAGCTTGACTAGCTGAAGTAATAATTCGAAGTGTGACTCATGTCTGGTGGAATTGAGCCAAAGTAGGAAATACGCTGAGTAAACAACGGAGCACGAAGTACCTCAAGGTGATATGAATTAGAGTAACAGCTTAGCAAATTGAGGTTTTATTTCGGAATACTCTACTTGTGAGGTATAAGAACAATTACGGCGAATCAGACTGTAGATTACAGACCGAATAAAAAAAAGCAAACAAACAGAAGGAATCTGAAAGTTTGATGGGCTAACATGATTGTATGACTTATCAAGTGAACAACAAAGGCAATCAAATCAGTCATGAAAAAACAGGTCAACTAGCATCACAGAAAATCTGATCACTGTGATCACTTTATAAGGAGACAAGAAGTCAATACGACTTTGTGATTTACCGAATTACCTTTGAGTCTATGCAACGGAGAAATTGTTTGGAAAATCCCTGCTGAATGATCTTATCACAATATTTATACCTTATTTGAGTGTTTCAACTAACTTTGTAATCAATTGGAGGATGGTGACTAACTAGCAGAGGAATCCAGGATGCCCATTTCATGCTATTTAGGAATCGTCATCTGAATGTACCTGCATTCCCCAGTGAGTGATGACGTTCCCACCGAGGCTCGAACCCAGTGCCTATAGTTTCAAACGCCAAAACGTTATCCACTAGATCACTTGGGCTACGAGAGCCACCTCTTGTGCAACAGGTCATATTAATTACTTAATTGTTATCTGTTATTCTCCCAGACTGTATCTGTCTGGATTCAACATAGAACTTGGCACCGAAGTGCAGCAGTTCGAGTTGCCACGTTCCAATTGGCACACAAGGTAGACAAGAAGATGAGTGAAGAGAATCAATAGAGTTTGACAAATATAAGAGTGAAACAGAATGGGTAATGGTAGAAAGGAATATGAAAGATTACAGAGACTGAATACATCTGCGCCAATGACAACGATTTTGAGCCATGTCACCTATTGTCTCTAGCCATTGATTCCTAGAGTCCCGAGGGCCCCAACCCGGGAGTCTGCATCTCCCTACCTGACTCAGTTTAACTGTCAAGGATTTCATGGATTGATGCCATGTTTTTGTTTGGCCACCACTGGCTCTTTTCCAACCTTCACCTATGTCAGCTAGCAAAGCCCGTCGGGGGAGGCTGTATATCATTATTTTGACATTTGCATATCATATGTCGATTTGACCTTTATTATTTGTCTTTGTCCCTATTTAATCTCCAATTTCAATACTTCTCTTTGTGGTTGTGTGTACGTTGATAGTGTGTTTTACGATGTGATTTCATCTCAGTAAGTCAAGGTCACTTCTGACCTTGGAATATCCGGGAGCAGCGTTGGTGTGTGATTCTTGTGGACAGAATTCTTGGTCACATCTTTTTTTTAGAATATTCCACTTGATTCTGAGTACTCGTCGGTGGCACAGTGATTAGGACTCTCGCCGACCATGCACATGGTCCGAGGTTCGATTCTCTGCCGACGCACAACCGATATCTATGGTCGGCCTGCAAAACTTGGGTTACCGATATCCATGCTGAAAATTCCATACTTGTACGAAAAATACAGTGTGGAATCAAGCTGTAGTCAAAAAATATTCGAAAAAATAAATACTCATTTTGTGCTTAGACTGGACTGTATAGATGGCTGACGGCGCTGTTGAGGTAATTTTGAGCTAATAGGACCGCAGAACTATTGGCAGATAATCGTCTTCTTACTGTCTTTGAAGCATTTCGTGACTGCATGTATCTCAAGGAAGTTATGTCAGCCACACAGTAGGACACAGAGATTAGTTTCCTGAGCTAAGTCAATAACGATGAGTTTTCGGTTTTGACAATCTATGCCAAGTGACTAGTAAAAATATTAAATAATAACCAGTAATTATAATATTAAGTAAATTCTTAACATGTTAACTTACATTTTTAATATCATCTCTGAAATTATAACCCAATGAAACAAGGCAAGCCTTGAATTCATTTGGCTCTAAGCGTCCAGTATTATTTTTATCGAAATGTTTAAAGCATGTACGCAAATCATTCATTTGTTCCGCTGTTAATCCTTTTGAATCTCTAGTTAATATTTGATTGTCAATTTCATTAACTGAATAATGTAATAAGGTGAATAGCTGTTCCCATGCAACACGTAATGTTGGCATTGAATAAACGGTATACGGGTTTTCGAATACAAAAGCATCCTCTAATGCCTGAAAGAGAAATTCAAAGTAAGTACATAAACAAGTATTAATATCACTGAACGAGGATATCTTAATAACACGATAAGATAAAGGGTGCAGGCAGTGTAATGACGAATAGGTAGGATTATATATTGACAAAAGGCTAAACATCTTCTCAGATGAGTCTAAATTTCAGAAACGTGGACTTGAGAAGAATAAGACAGAAATGATAGGAGAACAAATCACAAAGTTTTTTGAAACGAATGAAGAATCATTCACGACTGATATCAGAGTTATATAAATAGTTGAGACCTTTAGGATCTATTATTATTCCTCAACTTTATAGCCTGTCAGAAATCCACAAATGTAGAGGACTACCACTTGGTCCTATTTTAGACATGGTAGGTTCACCTTATCATTATGTGTCACTAGGTGCACAGGAGAACTTCTAGAACTATTAAAAAGGGAAGTATGTAAATATTCTTTGCACGGTGCGTCCGAATTCACTGACTGCATTGTTAATATTATTGTTACTGGGAAAACAATGGTGTTACTTGATGCATACTCGTTGTTTACTAATGTTCCATTGAATGAAACACTATGCTTTACATAAAGTGAATATAGCAAATAAATAACCAAATTTTAAGCTGAGAAAGAAAGGTACGCCCTACTTATTCAACAAAGGAAAACAAAAATTCAAATAAAATATGTTACTTTTCACTAGACTTTACTCTCAATCTCAAATACAAATGCAATAAATAAGAACAGTTAACAGTGAATTCTAAAAAAGAAGGTACAGGAACTAGATTACTGATGCGTTAAATGCACTTCTGAATTCTGTTGGCTTGTATTCACAACCTCAAATCTATATTTAATGCAACAATTATTGATAGATACCATACCACTTATATTTGCATCTATGCTCCTTAGGAAGAGGATTACAATAAATGTTCGTTTGAAAACGCGTTACTGAAAATTGACAAGTTCAGTTCCCAAAAGGATGGAACGTAATAATTTTTTCTAAGTACTCTGCAGGAAAAAACTGAATTACTCTGGTACATTGTGCACTCACCATCAATATACTGTCGTAATTATGCGAGAGAAAAAAGTTTTGCAAAGCCCAAAATTTTGCCCTCATTCAAATCAATTGCACTTCAGTAGATGATAACTAGCAGTGCAGTCTAGGATGCGCGTTTCGTGTCCTATTTGGGACTCAAAACTAGATTTAATGGCAATCCCCAGTTCGCAACGGGGAAACACCGGCTGAGTTCCAAAAACGACGAAATCCTCATTCTAGATTTCTCAGATAACATCAGATTATTTCTCAGACATCGTCAAATTGCCTATATCAGGACCCAATATATGCAGACAGGCTGAACATTTCGGTTCAATATAATCAATCAATGGAGAGTACAAAGTTAACCAAAATAATTAACTCTTGTACTTTAATTCATTCACTAATCAGTATTTTTTCGACTACTACTGTTTCTATAACTATTATTAATTAAGGTGAATATTGCTACTAGCACCAGTAATGCTATCATGTAATCTACTTCAACAACATCTGACACTGACTCCTATGTGATCGATTTTGCATTTCACCTTCACTTTACGCATATATTAATTCATTTGAAATCTATTCTCTGCCCCTAACTTCTATGACATGTATACACTAACTAAACAATTTTATTGCAAACAACCAGATCCAATGCAGCCGAAGGATAAGCTACAGAGTCTGGCCACTTTGACGGGTAATTACAAATTTAACTGCTACTCTGGAGATATTCACATATATAGAACAGTTCGGAGAGCCTAGTGTCGCCTTCTTGACCTCTGTCCAATTTGGTTGGGAAAAGGAGTCGCAAAGTCAATCAGGGGTTCCATATTTTGGAGTACCTAGTGGATACAGAGCACAAGATTGATAGAAATTCAGTCTTTACAACTCTACAAGATGCCACCTAAAGCCTTTAGGTTTATATGCCTTCGATTACTAAGCATAGCTGAGAAAGTTGCCATGAAAATTTTTCAAGCCAAATTATTTGTTCAGAGAAACTAAGTCTTTTTGTTAAGTATAAATACGATAGGAGGTTGATTGCCGAAGGATATTGTTTCAAAGAGAAGGATCTGACTTTCATGAGACGATAAAGTGCCAGTAAAATCCAAGAGAAACACACACCTTTAATGTGATTTTACAAAAACATATTCATTGTTTGTCAAGGATTATTATCATGAAGTAAAGACGTACTGGTTAATACGGTGCGTCGGTGGTCCACTGGTACAAAATGCTCGCCGGCCACGCAGGTGGACGCTGTTCGAATGCCGTTAGACGCACGCATAAACCTCGCCTAGACTACTAACCGGTGGTAAGCCTGGAAAAGTTGTGATGCTCGAGTGTGAGCCTAACTAACCCATGCCGTAAAAGAAAACCCCAACACCAGTGAAAACTTTAAAACTAGCAGAATTCAAAGGAATTAAAACAATTTGGTTAACACTATCCATTTATTAAAAAGATAAATAGACAAAGAAAGAATCGTACAAGAGACAGTCATCGTAATTAAATAAACTAATTTGCCATTCATTTATTTTTATTACCACAGACATTCATGAATGAAATCATTTTTATCATTTATCAGACTATTGTTTGAAAATGAGTTGTTTATATAAAATGGTTAACAGATGGTAAACAAATTGATGTTCTGGTGCCTAAAATGTCGTCCAAAATTGATTTTAGTGGGACGACGCTTAGGAACCATTGTACACATGGTGTCTGTGTGTGTGTGCATTAAAATCAGCTAGTCTGTAAGTACAAACTCTACAATTAAATCTAATAAAGTCATGGGGGAATAACATTTCATAGCTGGGTGTGTTTTGTTTTTAATCAACTACTGAATGTGAACCTTATAAAAAGGGTATCAGCCTGTTTGCATTGTAAAAGAGATGTAAGTCTGTATGACAAACAAACAGTTACCCTCGCACCAACCGCATTCCCAATAAGACTTTAATTCCTATTATATTTCTTCTAGAACCACTTGGTACAAAATACAGCCCACCAAGCATTTAGACTGTCGGTCATATTACATTTGCTAAGCTGAGGACATACTAACGAATGTTTACTGAATTAGCTTGAGATCACAGCTTAAAGTACACGTGAATAATTGTAGGAAGTTTCTGTTGTTTGAATAACTCCGGTGCAACCTTCCAATTCAAGATGATAGACAAAGGAAATTTGGATATAGGACGAAAACAAATTTTAATTGTGATAGCACTGGCAGGCATAAACAGTCACAAGACGTACGGAAATAATGACAAACTGATGGAAGCTATTTCAGCCCCAGAACCAGTAATCATTGAATCGTAAGACCCAGTTGATCAGACTCACTCCGATTGACCTTGATAACCTGGCTAGATATAATAATACTCTTCGCCTTCGTTGTGCATTTCTTGTTGTACTACTGTGCAAAGTCTGCTCCAGAACAAATATAATGCTGCAGTACAGTATGTAATAAAGTGAAAGGGCACAAAAAAGAGAACTTACAAGAACACACACACATACCTGGTTAACATGCTCCAATTCATTCAATTTATTCTGATGCTTATTTAATTCAGCTTCTAGTTTTTGTAAATAATTCCGTTGATCTTCTAATGCTCCACGTGATTCCATGCCAACTTTAACTATCTCAGCACGATGAGTTTCAATGGATGAGTTGAATGCTTCAGCTTTTTGAGCGAATTCACGTCGTAATTTATCATTGGCCAATTGACGTTCGCGTTCACTATGCAACAAAGCACTTCGTTTCTGTGTTAATTCTCGAATCATATTCCAACGTTGTGGAAGTTCCTGGAGATAAGCCAACACAGTGGAAGTAAAATACTTACCATTACAATTGGATTTTTCGACAACAGGTACTTACAGCATGTATGTGAACAAACAAGCCTTCATTAAAATTGGTACGTATTAAACAAAATTACAAAGTATAGGAAGTTACGTCAATTAATCCACGTTTTGGGTCAGCTGTACAAAGAATCTATGACCGACGCATAAGACTAGGTGGTATTTCAGAACATGAAGCCTTCAACCTTTCAGTGGTAAATTATTTGAAATTTGAATTATTTGAAAGTGGTCCTTATGAACAGTTGACATGTGAGAATAAAAACAAATATTTCATATCCTTCTGTGAATCCTAAGGCCTTTATATTACACGTCTCATCATATGCATTCAATATTTACAAGGCATATCTTAAGTGGCATTCGAAACCCAGTCATTGAGACTGGACGATGAGAACACTAAAAAAAGACTAAATGATCGCCTTTGTAAAATGATTTAGGAGCAATGCGACTACTCAATACAAAGTTCTCAAGTTCTTAAAAGGATGTCGGTTAAGAAAAGTACATCAGTTTATGAAATTATAAATCAACATCAACGGGGATGATGTACTAGATCGAGTGATAGCCCCCAATGTCTAAGAGGCGAACTACAGTTACCTGAACCGATATCCTGAGGATGTTAGTCTTCAGATAACCAAGTATGTCCCTATAATGTAATTACAAAAACGCATCGGAAATTATAAAGACTCTCCGCGTAATCCAATCGGTGAAAGAGCTGGATTTTATGACACATACACAACTACGAAGACTGACTGACTATAAAACAAGCAGACAAGGAAACTTACATGAGGCTTGATGTTTGTGTAGGGATTTTGGTTAGCATTCACTAATTTATACTCTTCAGCTATTTGTTCAACTTTTTGTGCGCATAGTTGAAGTTGGCGACTTTCACTTTCAGCTTCATCCAGAGTACTTTCAAAAGTTTGATGAGCTGCAATTAATCGCTGTAGGATTTTGATAACAAGACAATAGATTTGTTAGATGTTATAAACAACAACAGTTTAATAGTTTATGAAAATAAGTTACAATCTACACAGCTTGTATTACATGATAAACGATAACTTTTATACAAGTTCAGGTATATATATATAGGGACGTAAGATCGGAATAATCAAATTGTATGTGCTCACACTATCCACACAATGACTGTCAGTGACTCAAAGTTCTATAATATAACGAATAAATGGAAGCCGCCTATATACGTTTTTTGTCTAAAAGCTCTACTTAATATATTTGAAAAAGTCATGGTGATGCGAAATGGATATGTAATTCAAAACACTTATCTGTACCTAACTACAAACAGGTTTGACAAGAGGATAGCTGACTGGTTTCAACATAGAACTTTGTACAGAAGTGAGGCAGTTGGAGTTTCTGCACCCCATATAGTGTACACACAAAGGAAGACAAAAGACAGAAAAAAGGAGAAAGGAAAAGCAGAAATGTGAGGGAGAAATAGTAACATGAAAAAATAATAGAATTTAATAGATACGGGAGGCCACACAGAGTGATTGCCTCTGCACCATTGAGAACGATTTGCAGCCATATCACCAACTGTCTCCAACTACTATTGGTTCTTAGCATCCCGATGACACCAACCAGGTAGTCTACGTCTTCCTATATGGCTCAAACTAACTGTTATAGATTTCATGGACTGAGGCTAAGTTTCAGTTTGATTACCACTAGCTCTTTTCTAACCTGATCCAGTATCAGCTAACATTGCTCGTCGAGGAAGGCGATGGATAGGCATACGTAACACGTACTAGCCATCTCAATCGATGTAGTTTCACAACCTCATCGATTGACTTTCCCTACTTACCTAACACTCGATGCCTGACCCAAAATGTTACTCACCATACTATACCACTTAAGACGGGAGATATAACGTAAGCTGATATGATCAAAGAAAGCTAGCGTTTTCATATGACAAAAGGATGATTCAATAAAACATTTTCATGAGGAAAAGTTTTTTTCTCTAAAAATGGTCATGGAAGACATTTGCCAGTACTGATGAAACCAGGTTGGACAATTATGAGAGAAAAATCTTCTAATTATTCGGAAGATACATCTAGAAACCTTTAACTTGGTAACAATAAGCGAAGTGAATAATTTCAAACTTTAAAAAACAGCCGTGCCCAGCCTAGATTCATCATGACTCATTCATTTAACAGCTATATTCATGACCAGGGAGTTGAGGTTTCTGAGCGTATCTGATCCGTCGAAGTTTGGGTAGACCGGTACCATCTATAGAGCACATAAATTAGATAAAGGACACGGCTAGTTTGTTCTGGCCACCGTTGGTTAGTGTATGGAGGACATACACCATATTATAACCAAATTCGAATTTCATTAAACAAAACAAACTTTTCCTGTTTTGAAGCAGTTCCATGTTCTGATGATTCAAGGAATGTCTTGACACTAAAATAAATCAGATATGCTCACGCCACTATTACAAAAGGTTTGGAAGGAAGAAAAGGTACATACAAATTGGATGAAGGGTTTCCTGTCAAACTACTGAAGGGCGAATTTGGCCTTCGTAAGGACTGGCGCAGAATCATACTCTTGTCCACCCCAAACAAAATATTAAGCTGCATCATCCTAGGGAGACTAAAAGATGCTTTGGATGCAAAACTACACCCAGAACAGGATGGATTCCGCGAAGGCAAATCACGTGTGGATCAAAATGCAACTATAAGCACAACCGGACAGAGAAAATCTCTACTTCAACCTCATCAACTTTGAAAAAGCCTTTGACAGCGTCGTTCGTCAAAGTGCTTTAAAACTGAGGAGTGTACTGCCACAAATATTTATAAATGTCATTCAACAGCTATATGATTATGATACATGCCAAATGATTCGCAACAGAAAGCTTAGTGATGCATTTGAAGTGAAGACAGGAATAATAAAAGACTGATGATATTCCTGACTGTGATGGACCAGATCATGGGGAGCCAGGAGAAGGGCATATGTCTAACCAACAAGAAGACTAAATGATTTGGACATTGCGAACGAAGCTTGTCTAATGTCACACAAACTCGAAAATCTACAGGTGAAAACCAACAAGTTGGTGAAAAAAGCAGATAAGAGAGGAATTCAAGAGAACATAGGGGAACAGAGAGTTGGTGAAGATAACTAACCAACAACAAGCACCAATCACCATCAACGCAAGAAATTTGAAGGCAGTCACTTCGTTTACTTGCCTAGGCACTATTGTTTCAAATACAGATGATACGGATGAAGATGTCAAAACCGGCCAGGACCGGAAAAGCAAGACAGACCTTCATTAATCTGAAATAAGTGTGGAAATCTGCTGTACTCAGATCTTCAGCACTAGCATTAAGTCACTGCTTCTATATGGTACAGGGACTTTTTGCATCACGAAAGGCATTTCCAACAGACTACTACAGATATGGAGGAGATCATGTGCATGTGTGTGTGTGGAAATAAGGAAACTTTATGAAGAATCGTGGAGTTAGCTACGAACTGAAAATAACAGGGTGAAATGGATATGTTTAGCTGAAGCCCACGGGAATAATAGTAATAATACATACACACACGTATACATCTCTTATTCACCCGTTCAAAAGACTAAATATATTTCTGCCTCCATTTGTATTTTGCAATAAGCACATGTATTCTGGGTTTGAAAGTATTAATGTAAAACATCTATTTTTCGCTCATTTGTCAAAGATATTTATCACCTGTAGTTTAATACTCATTAGTATGAAAGGTCAAAAAATATTTTTTTTAAATCAAATGTAAAGCTACTACATTGTTTACGATCAAAGTAGGTTAACTCATGGTAATCTTACCTCCACTTCAGGCATTGTGTGAACAATGAATGTATCACGTAAATCCTCTTCCGTCTGTTCCATCCAGTTGTTGAAAGGCTACGCATAAATAGGTAATCAGAACAAAAGTCAAATAAGCGAATTTCCCAAAGCAATAACAATAAGAGCTCATTAAAGACAAACTAATAACCACTTCAAAGAAGTATTCAGTTTCACAAAAAGCATCTCCAACAGAATGCAGAGTTTTATCAACAGCTGGATTCACTTTATGCTGAGGATCAGATGGCCAGAAAGGATAAGCATTAAGGAACTCTGACAACGTACTAGTCATGAACCAATTGTCCAACAAACATGCAGAAGGGAATACAGGTGGATTAGTCATATATTGAGAAGACCGTCGGGTAGCATCACACGTCAGGCCATTGGGTGGGACCCGAATGGGAAACGTCAACTTGAGCGTCCAAGGGTTACATGATGGAAACCGTGAAGAGAAGATTATAGCTTATGGGTGACCATGGAGCCAGCTCAAGAGAAATGCAGAGGACAGGATGAAATAGAGATTTGCTGTTGACATCCTATGTTCCATCTGGAACCCAAGGGAATAATAAGGCTTGGTTCGTTAACACTAATTGACTCTCTGTTGTTCAAACGAAATATTCAGTAGAAACTGGACATGATTTATGCACGCCATGGAATATATTGGTGAAAATCAAAATTTCATCCTTAATCTTATCCAAATGCGGAAGAACAATCATTTTCCAATAATAAGCAGACATTTTACTTCTGTACTGGGGGAGTAAGAAGTAATACAGATGCAAATAACCTACGAATACAGTTATCATTTGACTAAAATTCTTATGACTTGGTGTCGATTGATATTTGTATTTTGATTCAATTCACCACAAATATAGGTTGCCATAAACTAACTTCTTTCTAAATAGAACTTCTAAGCCAGCAAGCATGAGACTTGAGTCGAGATTATTTTCTCCGCCGAATTTAATTCATCTTACTGTTTCACTAAGCATTTTCAAAGGAAATTATTATATTCATACCAATTCTCATACACTGCCAGTTACGTACTATTCAAATGGGCGAATGATAATTGACACATACAACTGATTTAGCTTACTGACAGATTGATCTCTCAACATAGAATTTTGCACAAAAGTACGCAAAGGTAATAACTACATAAGCATCATGCAGATTTAGGCATCTTTACCCTATAAAAGACTAAGTACGGCTGAGGATGGCTAGGTTACGCTATTCCTCTTGAAACGTTCTTATTTGGACACGCATTTATAGCCTCTGCCAGGTAAGTCTCATTCACTGCCTTCGCGGGACGAGTGTGTTCCACGTCAAAGTGAAACGGCGAATGAAAATGTCTGGTGTTTATAACTGGACTGGAAGGCATGTTGGTCTACGCAGAGGAGCTGGAAAAACATGATTCTAGACCAGTGGTGCACATTGGCTCCAGAATTCGAAGGGATCGAATGGCGTATAAACCTGTTTTGGTCACCAGAAGCCATGGGGACGTAACTTCACTGCCTTGTGGATCAGAAATCGCATCAAAGGCTCGCGTAGGTGACTTCTTAAAACAACCACCTGCTCCGGTCTAAACGTCTGAGCTGTAACCCAGACCTTGCACAAACTGTGAGATTTTGTGTGGCGCATCTCATAATGTACCAAGTTTATTTTAATGATAATAATAATAATAGATTTAAGGTATTTCATGAGAAAACTATTCACTTACCGCTGCTCGTTTTGCAAAATCTAGATGAAGTTGATCAATTTCCTCTAAAGCAGTCAAAGCTTTCTGTTGGTAAAACCAGAAAAACAAAACAATCATAGATGGGAAGATAAGACGAAGAGAATTTCAAAGATGGGTAGTTTACTCAGTCAGCTACAAAGAGTTAGTACAATTTTCTCACTATACTAGACATGGCACATTATTTTGCCACCGATAGTTATCTAAAACGTAGATGAAAGGAAATTCGATAGTGCGTAAGTGAGGAAACCAGTGATGTCACAACTCTAAGGTTATATAAAGCTGAAAGCATTGCAAGTAGATTAATGCGTCAGTCTATTTCCTCAAAATAAATCATGCCCTTCATTTTGAACTATTCTTCTGGTCTAAAATTACGTTGGAAGTCACCGCCCACTGAGACAAACGGACAGAGAACTACTCTAAGATGCTAGAGGGTTCAGTTATTGTTGTTTTTGCTGAAGAGACACCTAATGGTAATAATTTTGAATTCACGAAGCAGATTATAACTTGGAACCTGACTTATGTTACATCAAACACATGGTTCATTCATTCTAGCAACAGTGCGATAACCTCTTGACATAACTCGTTATTTAATGAATTAAAGCTGTGTATATCGATTGTTCCAACTTTCTTATTACCTAAGCTGCAACATAAAATTTTGCATTCATCTTTATTTGAATATTGATCATTGAAGAGCATGTGTAGCGTAAAAACTCAGAGTACAGCTTCTTTTTGTTTCGTATTATACCATTTCATAATTGCAATCCACGATTATGATCGTTTACTATATACAGTTTTAAATATTTAGTTTTCCATTCATGAGTACATGTATTCTTAAAATACATGACAAAAAGGCTTTACAAACTAACTATAGTGGTAGTAAATACCAGTCAGCAGTCAGTTTGCACGTTTTCATGTATCCAGAATTGTAAGATTTCTTAGCGAAAGAAAACTCATCTTGATAGGCAGAAGGTAATGCAAACAAGTAGTAAGTCTTAATGGTATGATTTTAAATTAAACAAACCAATCAGCAAATTCTTTTTCTCGAAAGGTTATACATGGATTAATGGATAGATTTATGCATCCCTTGCTGAGTAATTTTGAGAACGTAACTGAAATGCTCAAAATGATTATTCAGCTAAAGTCAAAAATAAATCATCACAGTTTAAATGAAATAGTTTAACTTTCTGCCTAAAAACGAATAATACTTTATGTGGCAAGGAATGGGCGTGTTTATTAAAATATGACTACCACAAATATAATTAAGAAGGCCATTCATGAAAATAGAGAAAAACCGGTTTATGAATGATACGTTGGAGCCAGAAGATAACCTGAATATACACACTTAACATAAAACATAATAGTATTTGATGGGGAAAAATTATCACAAAAGTTCACAAGAACTCACAGATATTTCTCGTTCCCTTTGAGCAGACAGCTTTTTCATCTCATCCCAAGTAGTTACAATAGATTTGTAACGTTGATTGAAAGCTTGCATGTTGAAATGATTGAGTTTACTAGAACAAGAATACCATAAATGCAAGAATAGAACGTTTTCGTTAACGTATCAATAACAAAATAGGCATACGTCACACGAAAATAAGGGGGATCACTTACGTTGATCAAAAACTCAGTGAGAGGTTAACGCACTTGGAAAATCATGAAGGATATGGAACTAAATTTTTTTTTATTTTTGATTACAGCTTGATTCCACACTGTATTGATGATACGTGTGGATATCTGTAGCCCAAATTTCGCAGGCCGACCATAGATATCAGGTGTGCGTCGGTGTGGGCTCGAACCCCGGACCATGTGCATGGTCGGCGAGAGTCTTAACCACTGTGCCACCGACGCAATTATGAACTAATATAAGTTATTACACCTCAAAACATTACAAAGAGACGAGCGGTAGGTATAAAAAAGAGAAATTAAAAGGGGGGAAAGCTGCTAAGATATGATAAAAATATATCTGTATTGCTGAAACCGGCCATACAATTTGAAATAATTTACAGATTAACAATTAGCTGTCCTACCTTAATGAATAAAAACGCGTTGATCACGGATTGATATCAGTTAGAGAACCATTGAAAACCAGGTGGACTGGGCAGCTGCTGTTTCATCCTAGTTTGGGTATCCTCGGCAGTACGCACCCACTGGGATTCGAACCCAGGACCTTCCGGTTACAAGGCAAGCTCGTATACCATTCAGCCTGGTGCGTACTGCCGACGATTCCCAAACCAGGATGAAACAGTAGCTGTCCAGTACTCCCTGGTTTTCAATGGTTCTCTAACTGATATCAATCCGTGATCAACTCGTAAAAACATAACTAACCCTTACAAACCAAACTATAGAAAATAAAAACACTTCACAGGTTGCTGAATCGACTATCTTAAAGCGTCTTCCATGATATTTCGACATCAGTTGGCGCAACACACGCAGACAATGCATGAACACACGTTACATATGGCAATTAAGTTATTGAAGGAGTAAAATAAAACGACTCTTTCCAGTTTTTACACTTAGAGCTCTGAAGTTGACACACGCTTGTACAGGCATGAAAGATTCATGTTAATATAGTTTATAAAGTGAACTTCGACACCATTAATAAACCCTTCTGTTCAGCTTAATAAATATTTAATATCACAATTTGATGGTCAACATGCACTTTCATAACTGAACACACTTGTAAACTATTGACTTTCGCTTTATAAAGCAGATAAGTCAGAATGGGGATCAAAACTACTTATAAGGAATCTTAAAAAGAATTCATTAAATCTGAGAAATAACAGTCTACGAGACTTTTAGATTTGAAGCTGACACATATTTGAAAATATCTCGATCAGCAGCAAAGAAAAACACTGAAATCTTACTTCAATTCTTCAGACAACGCTTGTATGCGCTCTATGCGAGCGTGATGAGCAGTCATATCCGACTGGAAAGCTTCGTGTTTTTTCTGGAATGCGCGCATTTCTGCTAAGGTAGCTGAACGAAAATCATTTGAAGCAAGTGCTTCTGGCTTTCCATTTGTCCATGCCTCGTGAGTAGAACATTTTACTTCGAACTTTTTTGCTAAATACTCAAGACGTTCTAGCCTTTGTAACTCTTCCAGCAGCCATTCCTAGAAAAAGAATAAAAACGTAATTAACTCTGATTGGGGAAGTGATGGTGGCTATAAAGATCACAGATGGTAATATAGATATGCAGTTTTAAAGTTGCCGAATAAATAAGTATGAAAAGTTTATTTTAAAAAGCAGTCACTCTAGGAACACATAAAAGTCGAAAGTCTATCAGGAAAACAACTGCTGATTAATGTAACCGTATACTACAAAGGCATTTTTGTCAGATTCGGTAACACAATCCGACAAACTTGAAGCTACTTCTAAGTAATCGTATTTGAATAATACATTTCTTTGGATCTCAAAATGAAGCAAGACCTCAAGCTAAAAATAATTATCAATAAATGCAGTATCGTACACCAAGAAGATGACCACCTCCATCTAAATCTAATCACCGTTAAGAGATGTTAATTACCAACGTTAAGACATGTTTATCACATAAAACTTCGTTCACACATGTGAACTCACTAAGCAAAAGACTATTCCAAAAACCAACCTCATAGACTTTATCAGCTTGTTCTAGAGAACTCCAATTCTTGGCAACATCTGTTATTAGGCGTCCAGCAGCCGGTACATATGGAGACTTATTATTTAAGCGTAGGCGAGTTTGAAGTGTATTATACGTTGTTTCAAGGCGAGCTTTTTCTTGTAACTTGGATGGCTTTTCCTGGCGGCAGTACAGTCGGAACTTTTGCTGCAACCCTTCGACGGCGGAAACGGATTTCTGAGGATCACGATGCTAAAATAAATTGATCGAAAAATTAAGCAAAGTTATGCATGTAAAGCAATCTTAAAGTTAGCCTAATTTCGCTATTTAATTATCGGAATAGTGTGTTTCGAACCTTATTAGAGACCGTAAAGGTCACTAGTGTTGCAACTTCATAGGACTGAATGAGGAAGAGAGACGGTGGTCCATTGTTTAGTAATGTTTTTCCAGCCAGTAACATTAGTGTAAGATGCACAAAAAGTTGTACCAAAAAAATTATGAATACGTACTCAAAGTGAGAGAAAGACAGTTTGTTTTATAATTTTAGTAAAGACATCAATTGGCAGAATGGAAGAACTATAAAGATTGAATAACACTTATATAACCCAATGACTTAATGCTATTGTGCAAGTTATTAAACTAGAAAAAGAACGACGCTTGATGTACTTGTGATGGATTCCAGGGAAAAAAGTTCACACAGTGAAAACCCAATGTTGAACCTGACAAGCTACGACAAATATCGATAGATAACGTGCCTTCTAGAATTCACACTTACCAAAAATCATCCATTCAACTCCTAGTTGAGTAATCACACACACGAAAATTATGACCTAAGCAGGTCAATACAGAAAAATATGTGCACTAACAGGTGAGATTGATCATCTCAAAGTTATGAACATAACCACTAAAAGCAATACATATACACGTACTCCAAATTCTTCGAGTTTCATTTGTATCCACGTTAACAAATTGCTGGAAATGGTTTCATAGCAGTCTATTAAACTGTTGTTCTCACGGATCATCCGCAGATTATTAGCAATCCTAGTGGCTGCAATATTTGTCTAAAAGAAGAAAAAATAAAATCACACATTGGAGTCATACAAAACACTGAGAACAAGCAATTGATTTCGCACAACGGGTTTAAATGTGACTGAAGTCTACATAATATAAAAGGATTTTCAAAAAATACGTATCCATAATACAATTCATTCAGAAATGCGAGATGAAGATGAGCACATACACATAAGAAAATTACCTTGTGGGAACCTGAGAATGCATGGTAATATGAAGACAGATACGCCATAACAGAACGTTCATCACATTTCCTACTGATTACCATATCTAAAAAATTTCACAATCATTTATTTTCACCTTACCTTCAGAATCAAGCATTTTAGGAATATCAAGGTGTTTTTCAGCAACATCAAACGCAAGGTTTAGATTTTTCAAAGGATCACTCTACAAAATATATTGAGCAAAACACAATGAATACCGAATCAAGTTGGTAGTAGTCAATTAGTTGTGGACGATTTCTATGTATAATTGCACAAAATGCCAAGCCATCTTTGAAGCTACGAAAAATTAGAAATTATTTACATGGACAAACCTTGTATGGAAGTTTTCAACGCGAACATTTTTGTATGGTGCAGTTTGCCTTTTACACCACAGGAGCAAACCCTCCTTTGCAGAGGAATCTAAAACCACAGTGTCACAAGACATGAAGATATCATACCTTCGATCTGAATATCTTGTATGGCAAAGCGAAGAATGATTGTCCAAATCATGCCAAGAGTCATTTTAACGTTACCGTCGACAATTTCTAAAGAAAATTAGATAACCGAGAATTACCTTCAGCTCCAATGGAAACCAACTTTACCCCTTTGCTCTCAATGAAATCAAGAGCTTTATTAACGTTTGCAATTTTATGGAAACGCATTTTCCCCCTATCTGGTTTCGGCAACCGTTCGCCTGAAATTACTTCAAGGAGCTTCATTAATTTAAGACCATCTCTGAAATCATTTTCGATTACGTCGATCTGCTCATTAACATTTCTTAAATGAGCATTACACCATGCGGTGAAGGTCTATAAGTTAGCATACTAAACTATTTCAGTTTATATATTACCTTTTTCTGCTGTAGTTCCCATGCTGGATCAATAGCGACATCTGCATTTGACTCAACCTCATCATTATCTACATATCCTTCGTAGTCGTATATCGGCATGTTTAAACAGAGAACACGAAACGCAAATCAAAATCGCGAGTGACCCTGAAAATCAAGCACAGTGAGTGGGGAGAGAAACATTTTAGCATATAAAAACAAACAAGCAATATCCAATATCTTATTAATTAGCCTGTATAAACCTTATCTTTTCTTGTTGCTGGCTTCTTTGGCATATTTTAGTACGATCCAGTCGCTTGGCTGCGGCATAATTCGATACCCTTCATTCATTCAGCTAACATTTTTAGATTCCACATTTCCCATTCAGATTTGTTGATTGAGGGTAGAAGGCTTGGAACCCATGTTAATCCTTTTCTAGTAAATTTCTGTGGTTGTCCAAACCCTTTTTGAATGAATCAATTGACGTTGCAATCATCACTTCTTCTGGGAGCCGGTTCCAACAGTTTATGACTCAGTGTAAGAACCAGCAATATCGTTTCTCTTTGGCTTTTAAACTCTCCTGGTATGTCCTCTATTGTGTTTCTACCCGGCGGGAAGGCAAAAAGAGGATAGATGAGGTCCATAGTCATTATTTTAAATTTTAAACATTGTAATTGTATCTTCCCTCTGCCCACAGTATGATAGGGATCAGAGTTTAAAAATATCTAGTCTTACCTCGTGTGATAAGTGGGTCATACCGAGAACCATACGTGTCGCCTTCCTCCGAAACATTTCTAGACTATGTGAGTCCCCTTTAAGATAAAGACCGGCTGCCTGGATACAGTTTTCCAGTCTTGACCTCGTTGGAGATGTCTCTGGGGATTCTAGTCAAGGCTTTGCCAATTGCTTAGAAGGATCTGGAACTACGTGCAGCCATCGCGCTATAGTATGTAGTAGTTTTTAAATTGTGACTCCTAAATCCAAATGAGTATGAACTGATGGGAGGTCTGATGCTTGCGTGTCCAATGCGCATGGTTGCACATTTTGCTACATTAATCGCGAGCATCCGTTACTGGACCACTCTAACAATTTGTTGAGGTTTCTCGCAAAGTGAGGGCATCACTGTCACCCTTCTGATCTCTCCAGATTTTTAAGTCACCTGCATTTAGCACTATTGGGGAATCCGTGAGCACATATAACTCACTATACACAAAATAAATAAGAGATGCTCGAATACTGTGTTTTGTGGCATTCCGCTATGCACTGTTGGCGAGAAGGAGAGTTCTGGGTTGATCCTGCGTCTCTACCTCCTATCTATGGGAAATTCCCTAACCCAGTTCAGTAAGCTGCCTTTGATACTAAGACTTTCCAGCTTCGTGAACAGTCTTTGGTGAGGGGCTTTATCGAAGGCTTTGCTGAAGTATATGAAGACAACCTCAAGGGGTCTTCTTTTGTCCCTTGATTTCACCAAGATTTTTCTTGCAGTGAGAAGATTTAACAAGCATGAGGGTTTTCCTCGGAAAACATGCTGTGCTCTGGATAACAAGTTGTTGTTTTCCAGATATACCCTGACACGGCTCAAATTATTCCATGCACTCAAGGTCACTGAAAGAGTTAGACACCTGAGGGTTATTCTGGTTCACGTTAGTCGGCCATGTTGGACTGCCATTCCATAACCGTTCATTTACACATCAGCTTTTGCGTTTGTCTTGCACTCAATCACAACTTGTCTTGACGCACATTGTTCACAAATGTCGCGCTTCACCTCATTTTTTTCCGTTGCCGTTAAAACTAGTTATTTCTTTTGCTTAAAAAGATTTTGTCACCAGGTCAGTTCATACATTGTAATTGTTTCATACGTTGCATTCATGCGTGGTTACTGTGTTTTAGTTGTTGTCGGCTGTTAATGAAATAGTACTGTGTAGAAGTTTTCGAAATTATGCACGTGAACATGTTCGGGTAAATTGTTTACTTAATTATTATTATCAATACGTAGAAATCTGAAAAACGTTCAAATCCTGCAACAATCTACCAGTCAATGCGGTGAGGGGAGCACTATCAGAATTGCTATTAGCAAGGTTTTCGAAGAACATATTAAACCTGGATAACTTAGAACCTGGGTTGAATTTGAAAAAGCCTTGAGTATATAATCAGTTTGTCTACTATCAAATAGAAATCATATATTGTGTGAGAATCTAAATTAAACAAGGATGAGCCACTTGTGAAGTATGAAGATGTGGCGTTTGTATATACTCTTGCATTCAAAAAGAGATCGAAAGGCAACAGAAAACTCTAAAGGTTAACTGTTACTTTTGTTATTAATGCTTAATGTACTAGATCTGGATACATGAACTAGAATTGTCTGTAGTAAAGCCAATGTTTTCAGTCATTCAATTTGTTGCAAAACGACTAAACAAGAGGATAACATACAATTACCTGTTGTGTGTGAAAATTATCCTTGATAAAGGTGAGACTTTATTGTCAAGCATAGCGATTTGGATTGTAGTCTAAGATCGGTGTATTTTTCAAAGTTATAACAAGCCGAGATGATTATTACTCGGGGTGAAAACATTGACCGGATACAAATAACTTGTTTCAGTTCAAATAATGAAATTCCTAATTTTTGATGTTTGCAATTTCTCCGTCGTTATAAATACGGATGTCCATGATTTTTAAGAAACCTTTCAATAAATTTCCTCACACCAGTGGTCTTCACTTTCCTAGCGAAACATTTGTTGACACGATTAGACGAATAGACAGCAAACCATTTCTCTGTAGCTGAGAACCACAGTCTTTGTGTTCCGGGTCAGTATCATGCGTTAGTCGGCCATGTTGGACTGCCATTCCATAACCGTTCATTTACACATCAGCTTTTGCGTTTGTCTTGCACTCAATCACAACTTGTCTTGACGCACATTGTTCACAAATGTCGCGCTTCACCTCATTTTTTTCCGTTGCCGTTAAAACTAGTTATTTCTTTTGCTTAAAAAGATTTTGTCACCAGGTCAGTTCATACATTGTAATTGTTTCATACGTTGCATTCATGCGTGGTTACTGTGTTTTAGTTGTTGTCGGCTGTTAATGAAATAGTACTGTGTAGAAGTTTTCGAAATTATGCACGTGAACATGTTCGGGTAAATTGTTTACTTAATTATTATTATCAATACGTAGAAATCTGAAAAACGTTCAAATCCTGCAACAATCTACCAGTCAATGCGGTGAGGGGAGCACTATCAGAATTGCTATTAGCAAGGTTTTCGAAGAACATATTAAACCTGGATAACTGAGAACCTGGGTTGAATTTGAAAAAGCCTTGAGTATATAATCAGTTTGTCTACTATCAAATAGAAATCATATATTGTGTGAGAATCTAAATTAAACAAGGATGAGCCACTTGTGAAGTATGAAGATGTGGCGTTTGTATATACTCTTGCATTCAAAAAGAGATCGAAAGGCAACAGAAAACTCTAAAGGTTAACTGTTACTTTTGTTATTAATGCTTAATGTACTAGATCTGGATACATGAACTAGAATTGTCTGTAGTAAAGCCAATGTTTTCAGTCATTCAATTTGTTGCAAAACGACTAAACAAGAGGATAACATACAATTACCTGTTGTGTGTGAAAATTATCCTTGATAAAGGTGAGACTTTATTGTCAAGCATAGCGATTTGGATTGTAGTCTAAGATCGGTGTATTTTTCAAAGTTATAACAAGCCGAGATGATTATTACTCGGGGTGAAAACATTGACCGGATACAAATAACTTGTTTCAGTTCAAATAATGAAATTCCTAATTTTTGATGTTTGCAATTTCTCCGTCGTTATAAATACGGATGTCCATGATTTTTAAGAAACCTTTCAATAAATTTCCTCACACCAGTGGTCTTCACTTTCCTAGCGAAACATTTGTTGACACGATTAGACGAATAGACAGCAAACCATTTCTCTGTAGCTGAGAACCACAGTCTTTGTGTTCCGGGTCAGTATCATGCGTTAGTCGGCCATGTTGGACTGCCATTCCATAACCGTTCATTTACACATCAGCTTTTGCGTTTGTCTTGCACTCAATCACAACTTGTCTTGACGCACATTGTTCACAAATGTCGCGCTTCACCTCATTTTTTTCCGTTGCCGTTAAAACTAGTTATTTCTTTTGCTTAAAAAGATTTTGTCACCAGGTCAGTTCATACATTGTAATTGTTTCATACGTTGCATTCATGCGTGGTTACTGTGTTTTAGTTGTTGTCGGCTGTTAATGAAATAGTACTGTGTAGAAGTTTTCGAAATTATGCACGTGAACATGTTCGGGTAAATTGTTTACTTAATTATTATTATCAATACGTAGAAATCTGAAAAACGTTCAAATCCTGCAACAATCTACCAGTCAATGCGGTGAGGGGAGCACTATCAGAATTGCTATTAGCAAGGTTTTCGAAGAACATATTAAACCTGGATAACTTAGAACCTGGGTTGAATTTGAAAAAGCCTTGAGTATATAATCAGTTTGTCTACTATCAAATAGAAATCATATATTGTGTGAGAATCTAAATTAAACAAGGATGAGCCACTTGTGAAGTATGAAGATGTGGCGTTTGTATATACTCTTGCATTCAAAAAGAGATCGAAAGGCAACAGAAAACTCTAAAGGTTAACTGTTACTTTTGTTATTAATGCTTAATGTACTAGATCTGGATACATGAACTAGAATTGTCTGTAGTAAAGCCAATGTTTTCAGTCATTCAATTTGTTGCAAAACGACTAAACAAGAGGATAACATACAATTACCTGTTGTGTGTGAAAATTATCCTTGATAAAGGTGAGACTTTATTGTCAAGCATAGCGATTTGGATTGTAGTCTAAGATCGGTGTATTTTTCAAAGTTATAACAAGCCGAGATGATTATTACTCGGGGTGAAAACATTGACCGGATACAAATAACTTGTTTCAGTTCAAATAATGAAATTCCTAATTTTTGATGTTTGCAATTTCTCCGTCGTTATAAATACGGATGTCCATGATTTTTAAGAAACCTTTCAATAAATTTCCTCACACCAGTGGTCTTCACTTTCCTAGCGAAACATTTGTTGACACGATTAGACGAATAGACAGCAAACCATTTCTCTGTAGCTGAGAACCACAGTCTTTGTGTTCCGGGTCAGTATCATGCGTTAGTCGGCCATGTTGGACTGCCATTCCATAACCGTTCATTTACACATCAG